TAGTCTAATCTTAGGCTTCAGTAACAGAAGCATAGTATCCAAATCATGAATGATTTATATAGATTCACTTTGTTCTACACAAATTGTACACTTTTTCCCCTACACAACCTGGGTCCAGTGTCTGGTTCTGGGCACCGCATTGAAAAGGAAGAGGCTGTCCGGAGAATTATGGTCAGGTTGGTGAGGGAAACTCCTAAGAATAAATATTTGAAAGATTGGATTCTGTTTAACCTAGAAAAGGTACGATTACAGAAACAAGGCAAATTTCTTCAGTTACCCAAATAATGACTAATAGACTGATCAGGGTGTGTCTGCAATGTGATGGTGAGGAAACAGGACAAGGGATGGGGAGCCAGGGTTTGTTTAAGGAAGGTGGTTAAGGTAAATAAATGCTGCAATTCTGATGAAAGGGCCAATATATTTAGAAGCAACGTCAAAGATAAATCGGCCATTAAGTATAAAGTAATCTCAAACACCATATTGCACTCTTATCAAGGGTGGAAATTCAAATCCAGTGGAACACAGCCCATTACAAATCCTGTACATAGGAATATTTTATTAATAATAAAAATAGTGGCTGGGGCAACCCACCCAGATAGGCAGGGCATAAATAATAAAGTGGTTGTTGTTGTTGTTGTTGTTGTTGTTGTTGTTGTTGTTGTTATACCCTGCCCATCTAGCTGGGTTGCCTTGTTGAGCAGCAGAAATTCATTCTGCTGTTAATTATCTTTATGGCCTTGCTGAGCAATATGTTTGGTACCTGTTTGGCTGCAGGAGTTGCCGGAAGGAGTACAAGGAGCCATCCAACCATCTTAGGGACTTCACTTGGATTTGTGTTGAGGTTACTCCTTAGCCTTTTCTTCTCCCAAAGATATCCTACAAAGCAGTGGAGGTTCAGGATCAGAGTTTTGCTTCTCCTACATGGGCTGCCTTCCCAGATTGATGAGCCCCATCTCCCCCTCGCTTCCCACTACAGCACATACAGAAACCGCCTTCTTGACCATTGGACCCACTATTGGTCTGGTCCACTCAATCTTCCAGAGCCTGTCTTCACATTCAGGGGAAATCCCAATCCCACCAAGGGTTTGAGACCCATCGGATACACTGACACCTACATTGGCCACCCAGGTGAAGCCATATCCTGGGGTGGCACATATTGACAGCTTGAAGGATCCACAGGTGAGAGCTGAGTACGGTTGAGGGGGGCCAAAGGTGGACAAACTACCATAGAAGAAGCAAGATGTGTCTCCCAACAGAGGTATCACCCCACCCCTAACACCCCATAGATACGCAGTTCATTACGGCTGACAACTAGAGGTGACAGAGTGCTTTGAGGAAGAGTAAAATACCAATATTTACTTAGGAATAAGTCCCATGTAACTGAATGGGATGTACTTCTGAGGGGAAAGTCTTAGAACCATAGAATTGTAGAGTTGGAAGGGACCCTGAGGATCATCTAGTCCAACCCCCTGCAATGCAGGAATATGGCAGCTGTCCCAGAAGTAGATCAAACCTCCAACCTTGTTGTTATCAACACCAAGCTCTGAGATACCCAGTGAATTGCATCCAAACATCATTTAAATTGAAAAGGAAGCCTTAAGCCTTTATCAATCTTGACTGAGCGGTGGTGTCACAGTCCGGCTTACGGGCAGTCAGAGTCCCGGCTTGGTACATCGGGACCGGAGTAGAGGTCAGGAAGCAGGAAGCAGCAGTCCAGGGTCAGCGGTCCAGGGGTCAGGAGGCCAAGAGTCCACAAATCAAGAAACCAGGAGTCAGGAAGCCAAGGGTCCAAGAGTCAGGAAGCCAAAGCACAGCTAGGTGGGTAGCATGTTGCCATGGCAAAGAGCTGGTCTTATATACCCCTCCCGGCCCTTGCCACCAGGTGCTACGAGTCTTCTGTCAAGCATCACCTGTGCAGTAGCACCTGGTCCTTCCAGGCCAAACTCAGGAAGCCCCCAGTCCTGCGAGGCCCTACCAGTCACAGGGCCTGGCTCCTGCAAGCACTCCTGACAGGTGGTTTCATATTATTGTAGAGTTGGAAGGGACCCAAGGGTCATCTAGCCCAACCCCCTTCAACGCGAAAGCATCCATGACTGATCGCCATCCAACCTCTGCATGGAAACCTCCAAGGAAGGAGAGTCCACTACCTCCTGAGGGAGACTGTTCCACTGTCAAACAGCTCTTCCTGTCAGAAATAATGTTTCGTCAGATTCTCCTTTTGAAGGCGTTGGGTTGAGTCTACCCTGTATTTTATGATACAGTGGCACAGAAATCCTTTTTTTAAAAATCGAAAAGATGCTATTCCTGCTCTCCCCCCCCCAAAAAAAAAACACCCCTAAAAGAGAATTTTGAGTGACCTTTTCCTTGGGATAATTACAAGAGGAAGTACTGTGAGGGGGGAGAAACTTGGTGCTGGCCATCAGGCATTATCTTTTCCCACCTGCCTTGCCTCACCCTCCAGCCCTTGGAGCCTTCATAAGGGAGCTGTTTCCAGAGAAAGAACTGGAAGGGGAGAGAGACCTTGTCTGTCATCAGAGGGGGGTTGGTTTCACCTGTGCTGCTCCACATCCAACCCAATAAACCTTCAGAAAGGAGTTCCTGCCATGTGCATGATGGGGATGTGTATTTTAATGAGCTATACAGAGTGGAAGATTCTGAGTCATAGGGCTGAGAAACGTTTGTGCATGAATTCAACAGTGCTTAGTTTATTTTTTGGTTCCTATTTTGTTAGTGTTGTTAAGATTGCTGTATGGGTTATGAATGCTGTAGTACAGGGGTAGGCAACCTAAGGCCCATGGGCCACAGGTGCCCTATGGGGGTCATTTAACCGGCCCATGAGGTGCCCCCTAACCGAGCCACCCACTCGGCAAGTCCCCGCGCACTGCGCTAAACCTGTGCAGCGCAGCATGGGGACTCGCTTCCGCGGCACCGGAAATGGCGTCTGTGCAGACACAGATGCCGGAAATTGCACACTCACACACATGCGCAATCCTGCCCACAGAGGGATCTCCGCTGGAGTGAAGCGGCCCAGGCAAAGTAAACCTTGCTGACCCCTGCTTTGTGAATCCCATAATATAACTTTTGTTGTAATTGTGCAGCTTTCCTTATTTTATTTTTTTGGTGGTTTTGTGAATTGTGTTTTAGAGACTAATTGTTTTACTGATGATTTGTTAATTGTTCTATATGACTTAAGTGGCATTTGTGGTGTTCTATTATGGGTATTGTTATTTATCGTTTGCAATATATAGGCTCCCGGTATAAGGAAGTTTTTAATGTTTGATGTCTTACTGTGCTTTAATTTGTGGAAGCTGTCCAGAGTGGCTGGGGACAATCCAGTCATATGGGCGGGATTTAAATACAGCCTTATTATTATTGTTGTGGTTGTTATTTGCTTTGCGATTCATGTGAATGAAAAGCTACCTAGAAATATAATAAAAAAAATCAAGAAAACAGACTGTTGTGGATAATTTGGGGCATTGGGAGAATTTGTAGAAGTAGTTACAGCAGCAGTGGTAGTTCAGTGCAAGTGACAGCGATGAGTGATTGAGTGCTTTGAGGAAGAATGAAACACCATATATTCACTGAATTGGATGCAAACTCAATTTTAATTGAAAAGAAATGATTCAGCATCAATTCATCTTGATTGGTTTCTTTCTCTGTTCCGATCAAATGCTGTTGGTCTTTCTTGCATCTCTCTCAAGTACGTTTTCTACTGAAAATGCACACAGCAGGACCTAGTTGAAAAGCATCGTCCAACCAACTTCTCATTTTGACCGCACCTGTGACGGCATCTCCCCCCATAGTAATGCATACGATGGGATTTTTTGGGCGGGGAACATTTTCTGCAGGAAAAAAAATAGCAAGAGACTTGAACATGCTTATTAGGTATCACTCCCTTCTTGGGCTTAGCTTAGTGTTAAATAGCGGACACTCCTTTTCTGTAATAAATAAACGTTTCCAAATTAAAGCCTGATATATTTCATCTCCATACGTCTAGCTTTTTCTCTTTTTTCTTAGCTTGGGTTTTCATTTTTATAGGGGTTTCTTTCAAGTTGGCTTTACTGTAAACTGTTTTGAGTTATGAGAAAATAAAAAAATCTGAAGAAGTGTGCATGCACATGAAAGCTCATACCAGTAACAAACTTAGTTGGTCTCTAAGGTGCTACTGGAAACGAAATAAAAAAATTCCTTCGACTATAGCAGACCAACACGGCTACCTACCTGTAACTTATGAGGTAAGAAAAGTGTCTAACAAAAATAAAATTAATGATGGTGATATAACAACAAAAACTTCCTCTCATCTACACAGATGTTGCTGGTTACACCAGTGTAGTAATCTATGCAGGTTTGGGTAAGGCTACTCTGCAGAGAAGTTAGGGATTTTGTTTCTCTCTGAACATGCTATTGGCCCCATTGCCAACAATGAGCGGTGGGTGACTCTGTCAATTTCAGTTTAGCTTGCACCGCCCCACCTGCAAATAATGAAGTTCCATTCAGCACATTATATAGGTAAAGGGACCACTGACTTCCCTCCAGCCCTCCATGGTTTCCTTGTTTCCCCTTATCCTGCTGTATATTATACCTAACATCCTTCTTCATCCTTACTTAATATCTACATTGCTTTACTGCTGATTACAGTCTAAATCCTACTTGCGTATTAATCTGTTATTAAAAGGTAAAGGTAAAGGGACCCCTGACCGTTAGGTCCAGTTGTGGACGACACTGGGGTTGCGGCGCTCATCTCGCTTTATTGGGTGAGGGAGCCAGCATACAGACCATGTGGCCAGCATGACTAAGCCACTTTTGGCGAACCAAACCAGCGCATGGAAGCGCCATTTATCTTCCCACTGGAGTGGTACCTATTTATCTACTCACACTTTGACATGCTTTAGAACTGCTAGGTGGGCAGGAGCTGGGACCGAGCAATGGGAGCTCACCCCATCGTGGGGATTTGAACTGCTGACGTTCCCATCGGCAAGCACTAGGCTCTGTGGTTTAGACCACAGTCCCATTTGCAAATCTTAATTTTTAAAAGCCCTCATGAAAAGTAATCAACTTCCTACTAATAAACACATATTTTCAAGAAAAGCCAAACATTTTTGTCAAAGCAGTTTTACATAATATAATACCTATTGTATAATTATAATTATTTTAGTTATTATTCATACCCTGCCTATCTGTCTGGGTTTCACCAGCCACTCTGGGTGGCTCCCAACAGAATATTAAAACCACAATAAAACATCAAACATTAAAAACTTCCCTAAACAGGGCTGCCATCAGATGTCTTCTAAAAGTCAGATAGTTGTATATTTCCTTGACATCTGATGGGAGGGGGTTTTATATGACGGGCACCACTACCAAGAAGGTCCTCTGCCTGGTTCCCTGTAACCTTACTTCTCGCAGGGAGGGAACTGCCAGAAGGCCCTCAGAGATGTTTTATGAATAGGCTGTTTTCATTCATATGTGCATATTTAGACATCCTTTACCCCAGTATTTTATGCTATTCTCTCTCTCTCTCTCTTTTGCACATAGAAAAACAGACCATGGCTAAGAGCATGTACAGCCTACTGATCACCATTGAAAACACTGCCATTAGTGTGTGATTCACCCTAAGAGAATTATTTCTAATGGAGTTCAATGAAAGATTGAAAACCTTCTGATGAAATGCTGTCCTGCCCACCATGTATGTTGCAATCTCCTATGTATGCTACAGTTACCTTCATCCTTCAAAGCTTCATCATCGTCAGCTGGCAAAGCTGGGTCTTGGCCCTGAAGGCCACGCAAGTCTTCCAAGGGCTTTCTCCATTTCTTTTGCACATCGGCTTCATCAGACTGGGAAATGCCAAGGAAGACCACGGCAAAGAAGAGACAGACGAACTTCATGGTTCTTCTCAGACTTGTGTGCCGTTGAAAGGAGTCCCAAGGATGAACTAGCAAATGTGATGCCTTCACAGAGTTCATGCCTATATATGCAGGTGGGAAGCCAAGAATGCTGCCCTAATGGGACGGGTTCCATTGTTTTTGAAGTAGCACTCTAGATAAGGGTGTGAGATAAGGGTGAATTTGAGATTACTTCATCCTTAGCAACACAGTTCTCTTTGATGTTGTCCCCAATCTGTAGGCCTTTTGACCAATGTTGCAATCTTTGCATTTGCACTACAGTGGTACCTCGGGTTACAGATGCTTCAGGTTGCAGACCCTTCAGGTTACAGACTCTGCTAACCCTGAAATAGTACCTCGGGTTAAGAACTCTGCTTCAGGATGAGAACAAAAATTGTGCGGTGATGACGCAGTGTCAGTGGCAGCGGGAGGCCCCATTAGCTAAAGTGGTACCTCAGGTTAAGAACAGTTTCAGGTTAAGAACGGACCTCCAGAACGAATTAAGTTCTTAACCTGAGGTACCACTGTATTTCTAATAACCCTCTCGCTCTCCAGATATTTGTCTGTTCATCTCTGCATCAGTCAGCTGACACACCCTTTTCTAAATTTTATTCTAACCTGAATAAAAAATTGTGGGGGCCCAGGTAAGTCCCGCTCTGTATAATCGATCACATGGCACAGCGCACACACCCCATTTGCTTGTGAATGCCCTTTAACGTTGGGTGGACTGAGCCCCCTCAAATATTTTATTGTGGGTGCCAAAAAACCCTTGGCCCCTAGGAGTTGGCTCCTATGTCCTTGCCATAATCAGCTAAACAATATTTGTTGTGATGGTTCTGGGCTCTGGGGAAAAGCTTGCGGGGAAAGGCTGGCAATGGGTGCTTCAACAGGAGCTGCTACAAGTGCAAAATCAAGCTAGAAATGCAAAAGATTGTTTTTAACATACAAAAGAAAAAAGAAACACATGCATGATCATGATCAGGGAAATATGAATCAGCAGCGGCACAGGTGAGATTTTCCAGTTGACTTAGCTGATCAGGTGCCAACGATTGCTGGCTAAAATAGTCTAATCTCTTTACATAGATTCACTTTGTTCTACACTAACTATACACTTGTATTCTATGCAGCTTGGGTGCTGTGTCTTGTTCTGGACACCGTACTGAAAAGGAGGATGCTGTCCAGAGGAATATAGCCAGGTTGGTGAAAGGATCTCCTAGGAATAAATACTGTATTGGAAAGTTTGGCCATCCAATCTCTGCTTAAAAACCTTGAAGGAAGGAGGGTCCACTACCTCTCAAGGGAGACCGTTCCACTGTTGAACTGCTCTGGCTCTCAAAAATAATGCTTAGTCGAGTTCTCATTTCTTGTAACTTGAAGACATTGGGTTGAGTCCTACCATGTTTTATTTTATGATATAGTGGTATAGAAAACCTAAACAAACATTTTTCAAGATGTGTATTTTAATGAGCGGAATATTATGAGTCATGAGAGTTGAGAAGAGTGTATGAATTCAACAGTGCTTAGTTTATTTTTTTATTGGTATTTTCCCCTTGTTGTCAAGATTGCTTTATTGGTTATGAATGCTGTAACACTTTGTGAATCCCATAATATAACTTTTGTTGTAATTGTGCTGCTTTGCTTATTTTTTTAGTTGTTTTGCTAATGGTGCTTTATAGCCTGTTGTTGTTTTACTGATGATTTGTTGATTGTCCTATATGATTTAAGTGATATTTGTCATGTTCCATTATCAGCTTGCAATATATTATTTCCCTGCACAGGGAAGTTTTTAATGTTTAATGTCTCACCATGTTTCAATTTGTTGGAAGCTGCTCAGAGTGGCTGGGGCAACCCAGTCAGATTGACAGTATATAAATAATAAATGTTGTTGTTGTTATTATTTGTTTATTTATTAGCTTTTTGTGATTCCTCTGAAAGAAAAGTGGCATAGAAAGACAATCATACCTTGGGTTGAATATGCTTTGGGATGAGCACGTTCAAGTTGTGCTCTGTGGCAGCCTGGAAGTAATGGGTTTCGCCACTTGCGCATGTGCAGACGCTCAAAATGATGTCATGCGCAGAAGCGGCTAAAAGCGACGCGTGCACACATAGACGTGCCATCGCTAGTTACGTTTGCATCTCGATGTGAACGGGGCTCCGGCATGGATCCTGTTCGCATCCAGATGTACCACTGTATGATAAATCAAATCAAGAAATCAAGAAAATTGTGACTGTTTCAGATAATTGGGGGCACGGGGGAGTTTGTAGTAGTAGTTACAGCAACAATGGTAGTTCGGTGCTAGTGATAGCTATAAGTGATCAAATCTTTGAGGAAAAATGAAATACCAGATAGCCACTGAATTGGAAGCAAACTCAGTTTTAATCAAAAAAGAGAGGTTTAGCATTAATCCATCTTGATTGGGAGGTGGATTCTTCCTCTGTTCCGATCGTACGCTGTTGGTCCTCCTTGCATCTCTCTTGAGCAGGCTCTCTACTGGAATCCCACACAGCAATACCTACTTGCAAAGCATTTTCCAATAGACTTCTCATTGTCATTACATCTGGAGCGGCAATTTCCCCCCATAGCATTGCATACCATGGCATTTCTTGGGCGGGGAACATCTTCTGCAGGGGAAAAAAGGCAAGGCAAGAGACCTTAACATGCTTATCAGGTAGCTCTCCTCTCTTTGGCTTAGCTTAGTCTTATCTCACTTTAACATAGCGGACACTGCTTTTCTGTAAGGTTTTCCAAATTAGGGCATAATATATGTTCCCACCTTTTTATTGTTAGCTTTGGTTCTCATTTTTATTGTTGGTTTTACTGTAAACCGCTCTTTGAGTTATGCGGTAAGAAAAGTGTCTAACCAAAATAAAATTAATGATGATGATTATGATGATGATGATGATATAACATGGACTTTCACTTCTCTACACAGGTGCTGCTTGTTATACTGTTGTAAACATCTGCACAGGTTTTGGTAAGGCTACTCTGCAGAATGGTCAGAGATCTTGTTTCTTTCTGAACAAGATCTCAGCCTCGTTGCCAGCAAAGAGCATTGGGTGAGTTGGTCAAATTCAATTTCTCTGAAGTCCCCATTTTCCACCCACCCCCCCAAAAAAACAAAGTTCCATTCACCATCTTTCCATACTAGTTTGCAGATTTTATTTTTAAAAAGTCCTCATGAAAATTCACCAGCTAATAAACCCCTATTTTGCAAGCAAAGACAGACATTTTTCCCAAAGCACTTGTACATAATATGGTACTTCTTGCATGCCATTTTCATTAATATCTGCCTATTTAGACACGCTTTACCCCAGTATTTTCTGTTATTCCCTTTTTTTTTGCCCCCTCTAGATTAATGTTTTCATTTGGACCAAAGAAAGAGAAGATATTTGACGATAATCTTTGCATTTTTCTTTATAAACCCTAATAAAAAATATTTAAAACCAAAATTGAGTAATGTGTCAATTTTGCAGGATGGCTGTGTTTCCATTTGTGTATTTTCCAGGAAAGTGTGAATTAGGGACCTAAACCTTTAACTGCTAACCGAATGAAATTTCTCCATCATTCTTAGTCACTACCTGGAATCAGATCTGTTCTTTCACTGGCAGCCAATACAGGATTTGTTCCTGTCCAATGGTGCCCCATTGCATTTGGGCTGCAGTATCAGCCTCAACTTCTGGACCACTTTCAAGGTCAGATCGACACACATCTCATTAAAGTCTACATGGGAGACTGTCAGTGATTATTGGGAATAGGCACTCGTTGCCCATCTAAAATGAAGGAGCACCTCCAAGCAGCACACTTGCTCCTTCAGGAAGTCTGGTGCCCTATCCAGAATACGGTAACTGTCTTCCAAATTCTCATACCCAAGAAATAACTGTAAGGATGCAGCTTCTGCTTATTGACCCCCATCTGCCTTCAGACACTGGCCCAGGACCTGCACAGCTTCTCCTGATTCAGATAGAATGGAGGGAGAGAGCTGGGTATCCCGATCTCTGGATAACATCTCCCAGTGGTGTCACATAAATGTTAAACAGCAAGGGAGGCAATATGGAACATTGAGGGACCGCACAGTGTCAGTGCTATAGGTCTAAATGGTAGCATCCCCATTCTATTCCCTCTTGGTGGCCCTTAAGAGAGGAGTGGAGACACTGCAAAGTTGTGCCCCTAACCCTCTATTCTCATGGTACTGAAAGCCACTGAGAAGTTAAGGAGAGTCAAGAAAGTAGACCAGGGTGTCCCAACCTTGGGTCTCCAGCTGTTTTGGGGCTACAACTCCCATCATCCCTAGCTAGCAGAAACAGTGGCTTGGGAAGATGGGAATTGTAGTCCAAAAACAGCTGGAGACCCATGTTTGTGAAACTCTGGTTTAGAACCACATCACTTCCGATAAAAGTCATCCGTCAGGATGACCAAAGTCATGCCCAAACCTGAAGCCATATTGGAATGGGTCTATATGAAAGAAACTAGATCCAGCAGTCAGTGGCTGAGATGCAGAACTGGACTACTTTTGCTAATCTTCTCTGTATCGTTCTAATTTAGTATATGTGCTGCCGAAGGGAGAACTGGACCACTTTTGACAGATAGGTGATGCTGGCCAACTGTCCATCACCAAGCATTGGCGATTCAAATTAAAGGGAAGGATTGAAAGTACACTCAGACGTGCTCTGGAGTCTTTGCTTCCTCTGCTTGAATTCAAGCCATGGTTACA